TTTAAATTCACTATATACCCCTAAGTTGTTACAAAAATTCACCATATATCCCTAATGAAAATAAGATGAGTAGAATTTGGTTAATTATACATTGAAAACACCTTAGATCTCTCCATTCATCTCCAAAACCACTCTTCTCCTTTCTCTAGTCCTTGAAACCACTCCAAATCTCCATAAACATAACCGTATAATTGATTTTGAGGATGAGAAAATGACATTTAGGGTAGTTTAAGGATGGAAAAAAGGAATGTAGGTGGTTTCGGGGGTAGAAGAATGTATTTAGGATGGTTTCGGTTCATAATTAACCCAAATGATTGACGAAATGAACAATAAAAACTCATCAAGGGTATATGGTGTATTTTTGTGAAAACTCATGTGTATATGATGTAATTAAAAATGTTCATGGGTATATGATGAATAAACAAAAAACTCAGGGGCATATAGTGAATTTTTTACCAACATACTCCGCTCCCTACCAAACCTACTCCCAGTACCTCTCCTATTTTTTTTTCCAAATCAATGATGAGACCTGGATGGCGCACTCAAGTAATTAATGACCTTGCTTTCGCAGTGGTGTTGAACACACCTTTGTGTGGTTGTCACCCACCCAGATTCACTGATGTCCGAGTTTCAACAACTATTACAAATCCGAGAAGGGCAGCATATTTTTGATGTTCTACTTGTGGGTATTACAAACTTTTTGAGATAATGTTATATTAGTCATTTTACGACATTTTGGGTTTTAAACTTGTTAAGATAATGTTATTTTAGTAATTTTACGACATTTTTGGGTTTTTGAGATAACTGATTATTATATTTATAGGTAATGGCATGGTATAAAATCTCGGCAGAGTTGATGCGTCGCGGCCGTGTTGTAACGGAATTCAAAACTGCTGTGACGATATTTAGCGTTTCATCACGAAGTACTAAAAAACAGCGCGACATATACCGCGACAAACGAATTTTAACCGCGACAAGCGTTTTTTAACCGCAACATCCGTATCTTGAACGAATCGTCCGCATTCGCAATTTCAAAAAGTTCAATGAGTATTTATGGATTTTTCTTAAAACTTTTTCAGAGCTAATATTCCCTGTGTTTCCCGCAAAGAGTCTAATTTTGGTTTTTGTTGTAAATTTTCACAGATAAAAGAAGAGGAGGAAAGCAATCAATTCTGCAACAACCTATCATTTCCACACTTAAGTGGAGGAAAACAAACAAGAAAAGCAAGAAAAACTTACCGTTTTCAGATCTAAGAAAACTAGAGTCAGGGATAGAACATTGCTGCCGACCGACGAACATACCATCATCGATTACTTATCTTTGACACTTGAGGTTGAAGATGAGCTTTAAGTAATTTTTAAGAGAGAGAAAAATGGGTTTTAATTGAGTACTTGAGTGGGAATTTAGGAATTTGAAGAAAAATAGAGCACTACTTGGGAGTTGGGAGTAGTCTAGGTCTCTGGGACTCTTGGGAGTTGGGAGTGAGCTGTAAAGAACTACTCAAAGTCTTAAACTCTTAAAGTCTCAAGCAGTCAACCGTACTGTAAGTTGTAGCTTGTAGATGTTTAATTTTTTTTTTCTATTTGTAATTAAATTGTTAGATAAGGATTAAGATTGTTGTATTATATAATTATTATATGTAGTATTAGTGTATTACTTTAAGAAAGGTGTTTGACAATTATATGTAGAATTGTGGACTTGTATAGTTGTATCTTTTAAGAAATTGTTTAGGAAATTTTGTTACGTTAATGTAGACACCCATTTGTGTCTCCCCAAAACCAAACCCAGTGATGAGTACCTTTCACGTCGAATCATAATCGAATGAAACGAAAGTGTGGAAAGGTCTAGTGTTGCGGAAAGTTTTATTTTTTTTCTTTTCTCTCTGATTTTGAAAACTTTATTTTAAGAAAACAGCCAATACAGTTTGGTTGGTCCATGATATGGGTCCAATAATGGTATAGTTGGATGGGGTTTGCAAAGACCTTTCCAACGATATATTATAAGCCCAATTCCGATGAATATTGAGGAATTTATGGCCAATTTACTAAACTGGGTCTGGTTTGAGCTTTATGTACGGCCCAATGATCTAGGGGAGGGCCTAATATGATTTATCATTCCTAATGCAATTAGGAATGGTTTTAGTTTTCTAGAATATTCTAGAAGGTTCTTTTCATTCCTAATTTAATTAGGACTCTTCAGAGTTTTAATTAGATCAAATAGCATTTTCGACTGAAATTATATTATTTTATCTTCCAGTGCGGTAAAATTATCAGATTTTCGAAAACGCGTTGAAATCCAATTTGGCGTCCAACCCCAGGCCTTGGCGCCTGGAATCAGGATTGGCGCCAGACGCCAACCATTGGCGCCTGGCGCTAGCCACTGGTCTTGGCGCCAATGAGCCAAGGCTGGCGCCAAGGTTGGTTTTCGATCTTCAGACTCTGTTTTGATAAATTATCTTTTTTGGATGATTTTCTCTATAAATATCTTATCTAAAACTCCGGTTTGATTCACCAATTCTCCTTATTCTTAAGTCTTCATCAACAATCACCTTACCAAGATTCATCAATTACCAATTATCAATATTCATTCATCTACTCTCCCAATCATTCATCAAGGAATCATCAATTGCCATTCATTAATTCTCTTCATCTACATCTTTCTTTCCAATTTTCATTAACATTAATTCTTTAGTATTCTTTTCTAAACTTTACTTTTTTCATACAAAATTCCGCATTCGCAAGATCTTGATACACCTAGCCATATTCGAAGTTGCCTTCGCCCTAGACGTGAAAGGTTTAATTTCTGAGGGTTTGATCCCAAATCTCTTTCAATTATTTAATTTAATTGTTTGATTATTATTTTCCTTGAAGTTACTAACGCGTGTATTTTGTTATTAGAAAGAGGTACGAGTCATCCAAGTAAGTACTTTAATGGTTTAATTGATATTATGATGTAGATATCATGCTTAGATTGTTATTTAAATTCCTAGTATCATGTCTAGTGTAAATTTAATATTAAGTATGATTAAAAGTACGATGCTTCCTATATTCTTCCTAATATTTATGATTGTTAGTATCATGTTAGGGTTAAAGATATGATTTTTATTGCTTAGTGACATGCTAGGGTTTGTTATTAATCTTGTTAGTATCATGCCTAGGATCTTGCTATGCTTTGACATGATCATGATTATTATTAATTATGATTGATATTATTATTATTAATGATGTTGATTATTTATTATTTATTGCTTGATTATTTTATTTTTATTGCTTGATCACCTTTATTACATGTTTAAAGGGAATTTGTACTTGCAACCACGCTTAATAAGATAATTAATAATCTTGTTAGGTTAACTTTGATTATAATTCTAGTGATCGCCAATAATAGTTTATTTGTGAATTAAATTCAACCAACATAGATTAAACAGGTTTAGGGTTAATCCTATTGATTGTATGTTAATCAGAAAGCGCACATGAATACGAGCAGAATAAAGTAGAGGCCTATTATTAGGGCAGGTTCAATCTCTTTTAGGTTGGATTTGTACCTTCATCCCGGACCCTTATTTGGTTCATGACCTTATGGAGTTGACGATCTCTTGGATCGTTAAGGGGTGTAACCTTCACCTCGTGATGGTTTACAAGTTCCTTAAAAACTTGTTGGCGACTCTTTTGCTCTATCTTCTTCCCTTTTGGACGCCACCGTACTTTAGTGTATGATCACAGTGGGGTTCAAGCTAGTGGGATTTTAAAGGCTTGAAATTATTCCCTACAGTTAATATTTTTTTAATTATAGCATTAGATTAGTAGTATAAAGTATAAACTATAAAGTACTAAACAATTATACATGCTTGAACATTGGTAATTCATTTACTTGTGCATAATATTTTTTTAATTATTGTATTAGACTAGTAATATAAACTTATAAAGTGCTAAACAATTATACATGCGTGAACATTGGTAATTCATTTACTTGTGCATAATTTTTTTTTTAATTATTGCATTAGAGTAACAAAGTATCACGTAAATGAGTAAATTAAAGTTAAAATAATTTGTCACTAATTTTGTATAAAACAAAAGATTTGATTGTAGTTTGGTGTTTTACTTATTTGCAAAAGGTTGATTTTATCTATTGACTCCAAGAGACGAAGATATTGGTTGGAGTTTTGGTGAACCCGCTGATGGAAGTAAGCATAAAATAAGATGCAAATTTTGTCACAAAATAATTAATGGGGGTATAACAAGATTAAAGCAACATTTAGCTCATAAAACTGGTGATGTAGCGGCATGTGAGAAAGTGTCCATGGAAGTTAAAAGAGACATGATGGGGCTTCTAATGGAGTTTAAAGATAAAAAAAAGGAAAAAAAGCGAATGGATAGAGAATTTGAAGAAAATTTAATCAAATCAATGAATCGTCCAATCGATGATGATGAGGAGGAAGATCTTGAATTGGCATATGAGATGCGACAAAGTAGAGAACAACACGAGTTTGAATATTATCATCCAAGAAATAACTACTATCATGAAGGAGGTAGTAGTGGTATTCCCTCACGATTGAACCGATCATCATCTGTTCACGAAGTTGGAGTTGGGAGAGGAAGAGGGAGAAACATACCAATTGAAGTACCATCAAATGCAGCTGCAAGATTAAGGGCACGTGATATTGAATTGGAAAAGGATTGTCAAAATAAAAAACAAACAAAAATTAACACTTCATTTATGAAGAAGGCAAAAAAGTCAATCATTAAAGCATATGGTAATTTTATGATTGATACTAATTTACCATTTAAGGCAATCGAGTCCCCTTACACTAATCCACTGATGAATACTATACGAGAGTGTCCAGATGTTCGAGCTCTTTCGGCTTATGAATTAGCTCAGGTACAATTAATTTATTATGTGAATTAACACATTTTATTATTTTCTATTAAAATTATTTCTTTAGCGTAACTCTTAACATTGAAATTATTTATTGTTATGTTATTAGGTATAATGTAAAGAGATGAAGAATTACATCAACTCCTTTGAACCGGCGTGGAATGAAAGAGGTGTAACAATAATGTGTGATGGTTGGTCAGGGCCAACAAACATGCACATTATAAACTTTCTTGTGTACTCGATTCGTGGCACTGTTTTTCACAAATCAATTGATGCCACAGATGTGTATTGTAGAGACACAAACTACTACTATAGTTTGATGGAGAAGGTAGTACAAGAGATAGGGGAAGAGAAAGTTGTTCAAATAGTGACAGATAATGAAGCTTCAGTCAAAGCTGCAGGAAAGAAACTAATGGACAGATTCCCACATTTGAACTGGACAGCTTGTGCAGCTCATTGTTTGGATCTTCTTTTGGAAGATATTGGGAAGAAAAGTTCAATAAAATCTGTTATAGAAAGAGCAAGAAAAGTCTCCCAATTCATCTACAAGTATAAATGGGCAGTTGATTATATGAAGAAGTTTACTGGGGGTAGAGATCTGACACGACCAGGAATCACACGATTTGCAACGCAATTCATAATGTTGGAAAGTGTTGTGAGACATAAGACTGCCTTGCAAGAAATGTTTGATTCTAGTACTTGGGTGACTTCAAGATTCGGTCAAATGAATGACGCATTAGCTGTGGAAGTTCGTGAAACGTTGTCTAAACATCCTTCCACTGAAGTTGCCAAATTTTGGGAAAAGGCTAATGAAATAATAAAAATACAAGACCCCATCATAAAAGTATTGAAGCTTGTTGATGGAGATCTAAAACCAACAATGGGTTTTATATATGAGGCAATGGGGCGTTGTAAGCTGGCAATTCAAAATAATCCTACATATTACAAGAATTATTGGAAGATGATAGACAAAAGATGGAATTGCCAATTACATACGGATTTACATGGAGCAGGTAATATTTATAATATTCATGATTCTTTCAATGTACTTATATTTATGTTAAAAATAAATACTTATAATTATTGTATACGTGTGTCATGTTCAAGGATGTTTCTTAAAACCTCAATACATGTACAGAGAAAATGACATTGGAAATGACCATGAGTTGTTAGTAGGGGTGAGAAAAGTAATCACCAGACTTGAAAGAGATCCAGATAATGAAATCAGAGCAACCCAACAAGTAAGTTATTATTTATTAAGTTTTTAAAAAAAAACATTTGTAAGATTACTTTTAAACATTTACATATATTAAAATATGTGGAAAATCACAGATTTACATGTATCGGGATAAGGCTGAAAGTTTTGGCAATAGCTCGGCACAAAGGGCAATACATCAAATGGACCCAGGTATATATTTAAACATCAAATTTAATTACAATACATGATTTATTAAAATAATTTTAATAAAATAACATTACATAATACATACAAATAATGTTTGCAGCTATGTGGTGGATGACGTATGGAGAGAGCGCACCCGAATTAAGGAAAATTGTTGTAAGAGTATTAAGTCAAACCACATCATCATCAAACTGCGAGAGAAACTGGAGCATGTGGAGTTTGGTTCATACTAAAACGAGAAATCGATTGAAGTATGGTAGGCTCCATCAAATCGTCTACCTTCGATACAACATGAAGTTAAAATTGAGACATATGAGGAGGCATGGTGCCGATGAGCTGAAAACCACTTATGATCCAATTAATTTAGATTACATATTTGATGTTGACGATCCTTTAAACGAATGGTTGGAGGAATCAGAAGCTCCACTTTTCGAAAGGAGATGATCTCAGTTGGTTAGATGATGATGATAGTGGAGAAGGTGGCGACGGAGGTGGTGGAAGTCAAACTGGCAACACTGTTCGAGGTTCCTCTAGTCATCAAACTTTTAAGCAAAGTCGGCAAAGTGCTGGTAACAAACAATCTGCTTTGACACCACCAAGTAGCGACGATGGAGATGATGGAAATGATGGAAATGAATTTATCTCTTCTCACTCAACGAGGCAATCAAGTGGGCGCTATCAACTTCCACAATCAATGGTTAATCCTCTAAACTCTGAATTTGAAAATAATTACTCACAAAGATTTCAAAGGCGTACAAAAGGTGGTGTTATTGTGGAATAATCAAAAGGTGGTGTTATTTAGGGAAGACCGCTTAAAGGTGGTGTTATTTTTGACAAATTTTCCTTTAAAAAATGGCTTTAAATATATGAATTACTTTTATAATCACAATTATAAATGATATTTATTACTAATATACATATTTCGAGCTTCAAATTGGTAAAAAAACACCCTTAAAATGCTCTAAAATTAAAATTCTGCCGCGACGATCGATACCTAGTCCGTTACGGGCGTAACAATACCGATACTGCGTTACCGCGACCGTTCCCGCGATCGCGACTGCGACCGCATTTTTATTCTATGCGTAATGGTATAAACATAAAGTATGTAATTTTCATGCAAATTTTATACGTAGTAAATAAAAATTCTATGTAAAGACTCCTTATGACTCGATAAAGTGTATCGCAACTTAGTATAAAAGAAATTATTATATTTTTTAAAACATTTTAAAAACCTATAAATTCAGTGTTGAATTCGGTGTGAAGTTGATATGATGATGTAAATCGCACATTTAATAAGTTCAGTAATCTTAAGACCTAAGGTAGGTCATCGATTGCAATGAGAGCTCGTCGATAAGTCATACAAAGATAAAACAATTATCGTCCCGTTACAATTTATGGACCGTATCATCGATAAATCATTCACATGATTGTAAATATTCAAAATACAAATAGTTATCATAGATAGATCATTTATGAAAGTTATTAAAGTTATCTAGAATTAAATTAATTTAGAGTATATGATTAATACTTTTTTTTAATCCAATTATGATTAATCCTTTGTATTCTACATTTTATGGTTGATAAATGAGAAATTGCTACATATGCCCAAAATATGACAAGTGTCAAGTGGTAATTTGGTAAGAAGCCAAGGTAAGTTGATCATTTGTTTTGCTATATATAAACACCTTTCTTCTTTTTCTTTGTCTAGACCTTTCACTAAAATAAACTAATTATAAAATTTACAAACATGGCACCATCCAAGAAGCGTTCCCGCCTCACTTTGCCTTCGATAACTTGCGAAGGTGAGTCTTCAGGTAGCCAACCGCATGCCCCCCACTGTCTGCGCTTACCTCCCAAGCACAACAACAATCTGCTGTACCTCTACCTCTCCGAGCACCTCCGAATAGGAGGAGGTCCAGAAGACGACCTCATCGGATACCGATTGTTGCTGGCTTACCTACTTAACGACCAAGAATTCGCTTCATCAGCAGGGAGGAATCTTTGCGGCTCCCACGAGCCTTCATGATTCCTAGCTTTGCACGAACACTATCTCTATGAATGAATGTTGATACCACGGGTATCCCTGTTGAAGCTGATATGCGGGTCTACAATGGGGATGTCGATACTCCTAACTCTGATGATGAACCTGAACCTAATATCAGGGAACTCGCGCCTAATATTGATATGGACCTTCTTGAGCATCCAAATATTGAAGAAGAAGTTCCATTACATTCAATATTGGTGAAGAGCGAAGAACCAGGTGATCTTGGAGTTATGTATGAGATTGCTGATAATGAAACCTTCATGGGAATCTATAGAGACTACCCATCAAAGATAGACGTTGGACCTCATCAAATTAACTTGTTCAAGCTTGGTAACCTTATTGCGCACCATGCTACACCAGCAACTACGCGTGTTCAAACTGGGGATGTGTTGTTGGTCCATGGACTGGTATTTCTAATTATTTTGTTTTTATTTTAGTTATTATGTTTTCTTTTTATTTTAAGTTAATATGTTTTGTTTAAATTAATTATCCCAAAATTGCACTTAGCTATATTATTAATAAATTAAGTCAAAATTGCACTAAGCTCCATTTTTTTTTTTTGACCTAATTATATTTAAGACCATGAATGGAATAGAGACTTTGTTTTATTTTTCAGCAAATAACTTTATATTATAAATTTTTGGGATAATTTTTCAAAAATAAATAAAAAATAAATATAAACATTTCGAGATAAAGCATTTTGAGAAGTAGGGTTTTTTTTAGCAGTGGGCCTAAGTTGATGGGTCAATCACATCATAATATAGATGGTGAAAGCACAAAACTTATACCCTTTTATTATATGTTAGCAGCTAGGATGGTGAAAGCCTAATTGTTATACCCTTTTGAAAATACAAAATTCACCTTTTGATTTAGAGAACCTATTAATTTATTGATTTGTTAATTAATCAAAATTTTTTTTTTTTTAAATTAGTTTTATTTTTATTTTTTTAAAATAAATTAAGTCAACATTGATACACGTAATTTATATGACCAGGTGGGCGTAGTGAACCTTGATACAAGAATCAAAAAGTTTAATATTGTTGATATATCGAGGGATCCTATTGAATAGAGGGTGAAAGGTCGTATCCACACTTGCATGAATCGAGTGTTCTTCGTGTGAGCAAACAGGATTGGAGCTGACCCATCAAACATCACACTTATGCATGAGAGGAAGTACTTAAAGCCAAGCCAGACCGTGAGCGATGTCGGGATTCGTAACAATGATAAGGTGGTGGCTTTCAACAATGCTTACTAAGTTGGATGCGGACTAGGTCCACCCTTTTGGAAGTGTTAAGGCAAATGTGAACCTCGAGTATCATAGACTCCATTGACATCCACCTTCTTTTGCTATATTAAATGGTGGGTAGTAGGTTTGAAGTTGATTAGATGATTTGTAGTTTGATGTTAGTACACCCATATGTGTTAGTAGTCAACTTTTGGTTAATTTGGATATGAATTTTTGTAATATATTATCATGTAGATGGGTTGTTACTCTTTATTTTGGTAACTTTGCCTTTTGTGATTGGTATAATTTTGATTTTTGATAACTTTGCCTATTGTAATTGGTATAATTTTGATCTTGTTTCAATTATTTTGAATGTTAGTGGAATTTGAAATAAGTACACATCACATTTAATAATTGTTCTCGTTAGAATTTGAAATAATCATTTAAATTAAATTGATCTCGTTAGAATTTGAAATAATCATTTAAATTAAATTGATCTCGTTAGAATTTGAAATAACCATTTAAAATAGTTTGGGGTAGTAGCTGAGTTGAGTTCCAGTTAAATATGATTAGTTAAAGTACACATCATAAACTAATTTTGGTAGTATTACTTAAATGTGGATTATAATCTCGGAAGGAATTTAAAAATCATATACTGTACAATATTTTTGGATAAAAGTTGGGCATTTTGCCAATCTGGGTAAACTAGTCAAATGGGTGTAAAAGTGAGCGTGGGGAAATTAAGTCGTTGACTAACCTCCTCACGGCCAAACAAAATTTATTATAATCCTAAACTAACCCCTAAACAAGTCTAGTGGTAAGTTCGGAGTCGAACCACAAGGAACGGTAATGTTGGATTGTTCTCGATCTAATGCTTAAGCTACGCCGAAGTCGGTTTATGGATAGTGGACACTACAACTACACTAACACACATATAAAGATCAAGATATTACAAAGTCTACTAGGGGCAAAGATCCACTTTGATCAATTAACAAGTTAATGGGAATTTGATTTGATAATCAATCATGCAAAGAAAGAATTAAAATGGGAATTAATAACCATCAAGAGCAATCTCTCAAATTCCTAGCCTAGATCCCTCATTGACTAGGTGCATAGAAGAAATTTACCCAAAATGCAATCAAATATATAAATTCTAATTCACAATCCCTTGTCAAACTAGAACTAACATGCAATTAAGTTTGCTATCTTGGGAGATCAATCCAATCTAAAACAAACAACATGCCATCATCAATTCAATCAATTTAATCACACAATTATCATCAAATTTATCTCAAATAACTCAATTAACCATAACAAAGCTTCACTCAACACCTAGTAGAAGGAAATCTACTCAAACATGATTAACAAAGCAATTAATAAAGCATAAAGAGAGAAGAGAGTAAGAAATGCTCATTGATATAAAATGGAGATCTTCAAATCATCAAATTCCTCCTTTGATTATCCAAAATCCATGAAAACCATTGTTTCTCTCACTTTCTCTCTCCAAAATTTGAGAGTTTCTCTCTCTAAAAACCTAAAACTAACCTAAAACTACTGAAAATATGAATTCCCTCCTCTAAAATGAGCAAAAAATCTATTTATAGCCCTTACTAAATTTCCTAGGAAGCTCCGCAAAAAGTCGAGCAGCGCGTAGAGGAGCGGGCGTGCACCCCTCAGGAGCGGGCGCTCCAAACTTTCTGCCAAACCTTCTTCCAAACTTCAAAATTGCACACCCTGTGAGGAGTGGGCGTGCGGCCTTGAGGAGCGGGCGCTCCTGGCTGCGGACTGGGCAAACTGCTCAGCTTCAAATGAGCATATCTCCCACGTTTTACATCGGAATTGAGCATATGACCTGTCGTTGGAAAGCTCTCAAGATAAGCTTTCATCTTCGGTTAGAATCGCCCCAAAATGTTTTGTAGATCAAAAGATATAGGCGTTTGAAGTATGATCTTTGCAAATCAAGTGCACATTTCTTCATTACTTGTTCTTTTATGCTTTATATTTCTTCAGTCTTGAGCAATGAACTTATCCAAGTGTTCCTAAACATAAGAGTAAACCAATAAAGTTTAATCTAACGTCATAAGCCACCAAAATATGCAAGAAAAGCCAAAATTGAGCAATAACGACATTTCACACATAAACATGACAAATGTAGTAAAATGTTATTAAAACCAAGTAAAAAGATAGAAAAACTATGAAAAACTAACTAGAAAACTCCTAAAAATAGCGACATAAATGACACTTATCAAAAAGCTATTTGGCCCATATTATAAAATGGTCCATATTTAAACATATCAATTTAAATACAGTCCATACTTAAATACAATCCATATTGAAACAAATGGGTCTAAAATGGGTGTAAAAGCTATTTGACCCATATTAAAAAAGTTTATATTTAAAAAACATAACAATTTAAATACAATCCATACTTAAATACAACCCATATTTAAACAAATGGGTCTAAAATGATGAACAATCCATAGTAGTCCAAAATGTTGGGAAATCTTTTTGC